AATTAAGTTACAGATTAGTAAAAAATAGAAAATATTGTGATAAACATTTAGCCCCAAATTTTAGATTTAATAAAATAATAACCCAATAATTATCCAGTAATAGAAATTGATTATTACATTTTCCCCCTCAGCTATGCTTACCTTAAATAACAAATTTCTCGTTCACGTTAAAGTATAAACTTTTAAATTAAATTAAGAGTTAGTGATCTTTTAATTGAAATTATATATATTTATATCTGGTAACTATTACAATACTTAAACAAAAATACTACGATTGAAACTTAAACTCACAACTTTCTCTTATAATCTAATGTGGTAAGCAGAGTTGACATTATCACGTCAATTGATAACTTTGACTAAATATAAACGACTATTTCTTAGAAATAAACGATTGTTTCTTAAAGATGAACGACCATTCATTTATAAGAAATGATTGTTCCATTCATAAGGAACAATCATTCGTATTCCTTCGTAAGAAATAATCATTCCTTCAGCATGTAACTTATTACCATTCTATAGAATTTGGTACTAAAGCATAACTTAACCAATTAAAATTATGAATGTTATATGGTTCATCATCTATCTTCATATAATTTCATAGCCGAAATTATTGTGCACATCTGGGTCATTACAATTGAATAGTGGGCAATATCATTTTTTTGCTATGTCATATTTATATATTATGTTTTGGTATATTGAAATCGAAAGCCGGTCTATTATTTATTTTAATTTATGGTTCGACAACTATCTTATTTAAATTTAAAATTATCCGTAAGAAAGATAAAAACAATATCAGATGTTGTTTGAATACAATTTTATATTTATTAAATAGTTCATGTATTGAATTTGTCAACCACCTTTTTTTTTTTTTTTTTCAAATTATTGTTCATCGACTGTGTTATGTGTTTTGACATGACAATTGATAATTGTTCATATCATAAACTTTGACAGAATTTTTTTTTTTTAATAAATTAATTGAATTATGTTTAATTATTAATATTGTTATGTTCATTTAATATAAAGGAGCATATCTAATTATTATTAAGTTTGTTTTCCAGTTTTGGTGAAATCATTTTTTAATTATATGTAGTTTTACGTTATGATTTTGTTGTATAGTGTTGTTTTTTAGCTTTAAAATATCTAACGTTTTAAAACGATGTCGTTTCATACATTATTTTAATTGTTATTAAGTTTGTTTTCTAGTGTTGGTGATATCATTTTTTAAGTATATATAGTTTTACATTATAATTTTATTGTGTGGTGTCAGTTTTTTAGCTTCAAAATGTCCAACGTTTTAAAATGATGTCGTTTTATATATTGTTTTAAATAAATTATCATTTCTTTTAAGTGTGGTTCAACCATAATTGGAATGGTTTACATTTATTCAAATCCAACGTATAATATATCAAATTAAATCCATGTCTGTCTAGTTTCTAATTATCTAAACCACCCATCAATCCAAAATATGTGTGATGATAAAATGAATGATTTAGCAGTGGGTCTATAGTTATCCAAATTCATCATATAATATATCAAATTAAAGTCATATCTGTCAAGTTTCCAAATTTCAAACCGCTTCTCAATTGGATTTTTATTGAGCAAGTTATGACCAATTTACTACTGAATGTTCAATGGAAACCGAGAAATAGGAAAACCGAAATATGTGTAATGATAAAGTGAATGGTTTGGCAGTGGGTTTACAGTTATCTAAATTTAACATACAATATATCAAATTAAATTCCCGTCTGTCTAGTTTTTAAAGATTCAAACCGCTCATCAATTAGAGTTTTATTGAGCAAGTTATGACTAATTTACTAGTGATAATAAATCAAATGGTTCGGTAGCAGGTCGACAGTTATCCAAATTCATTGTCTAATATATAAAATCTAAGATCTGTCTTTCTAGTTTCCAAAGATTAAAATCGCTCATCAATTGGAGTTTTATTGAGTAGACTATAACTAATTTACTACTGATTGTTCAGTATAAACCAAGAAACAAGAGAAATTGAAATGTGTGTAGTGATAAACTAAATGGTTTGGCAGTAGGTCTATAGTTATCTCAAAAATTAAATTTGAACTAAAGAAGATTTTAGTTTATTACCACTATGGATGAAAATATTGCTCGGCAACTTACTTGCAGAAATTATAATCAACAACAATGTGAAATTAACTTTTCATATAGTATTAACTAAAAAAGATGTAACAGTATTACAATTGTTAATGAATCATGGTTGGGTAACTGGTCTCTTGCAATTATATAGTACAATCTATATAGTTTTGCATCTTTCTTCTTATAATTCAACAATATGGTTCGACCAATGGCTACAATTTTATAGTATAATTGTAAACAACTTGATGATCAAAATGGTTCGGCACACGTATCAGAAAAAAACAGAAAAATAATTTATCCAAATAGTTCGCGACATGGATTTTTTTAGTACAACAATAGACAAATAAATGGTTTGGAATGGTCCGACCTATATCTTCTTATAATTGAATAACACAATTACTGGTTCGTCAAATGGATCTGACAATTATGTAGTAGAATTTACGGTCCACCATCTGGACTAAAACAATCAAATAGTTAAAACCATACAATAAATTACATAAACTTTTAACAAAAACTATATAGCAAACATGATAAGCAATTGAATAAGAGTATTACAATACAACAGCAAATAAATTGCAACTATGAGAACAAATTTTACAGTTCTAACAAAAAAATATGTAGCAACCATAAGGAGCAATTAAAGAGGCATATTAAAATGAATACATTACCTTCTATAGCACGTAATTTGCAACTATGAGAACAAATATTATGTTTCAACCAATAGTATATACCTACATCAAATCAGAATAAAAAAAGGTTAACAATAAACGCAAAAGCAAAAGAAAACAATTAAAAATTGTTACCTCTCTTTCTTCAAATAAGTCATGTAACAAACTGTTAATATATATATATATATATATATATATATATATATAGGATTCAAAGTAATGAATCCTTTCATATTCAATAAAATAAAAATAAAATATATTTAACCCTTCATATTAAATACGCATAAACATTCTAACTCTTCATATTAATTACACATAAACATTACCACATAACACATACAACATATCTTTTCACATTCACCAAATTCAATAATACACATTATCAATCCCTTAATATTCACATTCACATTAATTATTATTAATTATTAATATTAATAAATCTCTAGCCCTTCAAATTCAATTCAACAGAAACATTGAATCAAATTAAATTCATCAAAAACAATGAAACATAACAATAAAACATTATAATTATAAAAACGTAACTAAAATATTATATACGATAAAGGCTTTGGGAGGTCAAGAGGCTTCGGAAATATTTCAACAAATGTTATAATTATGTAATTAAAAACATCCAATAAACATTGAATGTATCTTGTTATATTATTATCTATCATTAATAATACCAAATAGCTTAAATCAATTACATGCAAACACTTACAACAATTCTAGATTCTTACATGGCGTTCAAGTAGTCTAGGCTTCAGGATTAATATAGATATGTAGATACTTAAATTGACTCTTTAGTGGAGTAGCGAAAAATGTTGATGATGCGTGCACTTTTTATATTAAAATTAAATATAAATTACGATAAATTTAAATTACAATAGAATAAAAGAAATAACAAAAATTTGTACGCTGATTATTTCAAGATTACTCATCGATTGGGGCGGATGTCGGGCCACTGATGATGGGTCGCGTGACATCACACGTAGCAACTATGTCTGTCTAACGTTGCACAACTTTCGCAAAGGAATACAATTAGGGCGTGATCAGTTGGGGTAATCCACAAATACTGAGGTAATCTCTTCTTTTATTATTTGATTATATTATGTTTTTTATTATTTGATTATCATGTTTGGTTGTCAAGTAATATAAGATATCTTTCAATATTTATTATTGGTTATATAAGAGGTAATCTGATTAATTACATTTTCATAAATATTTTAATATTACTTGATAATTTTATTTTTGTTAAAATTTTATCACTTATTAATAAAATTTTTAGACAATAATACCATTATTTTGAAATTAATTTATCATTACTATTTTACCCCTATTTAATTAAGTTTTTAAACAATAATGCATTTATATTTAAAACAAATTGCAGGCTACCCATGACCATCACCGCTCGCCAACCACCATCGCCAATAGTTGGCCAACCACCACCGCCAACAGTTGGCCAACCACCGCTGGCCACCGTTTGTCGCCACCTGAAGTCGCTGGAAATGACCATCGTGCGCCGATATCGATGGTTGGAAACAACTAGATAGCCGTAGATTTGGCCAAAAATGGCTAGATCTATTCTGGTCATCTCCGGCCAAATCTTCGACTTCCGGCCGTTAATGACCAAATGACCAAATAGATCTAATTGTTAACGACAACCATATTCGGCCAGAACTCTAACCATTAATGACGGGCAAAGCTTTGGCTGTTAACGATAGGCAGTTCTGGCTGTAGATCCGACCAAAAATGACCATATCAACGCGTAGCCGGTCAGATTTGACTGGTCGTACGCCGTTACAGCCACTTACGATGCCGCTAGCGGCGGTGGCAAGTGACCGACAATGCTTGGGGTGGGTGTGAATGTTTTTGTTAAGTTTTAAACTTTTTTTGTTGCTAGGGTGTTTTAGCAATATTTCAAACGTAAGGGGTTAAAAAAATTATTCAAAAAATAATAATAAAAATAATATTATATTAATATTTAAAAAGAAAGAAAATTTAGTAAATTATATAACATACCCACTGATTTATTCTTCCCAACCAAACATATTAATATAGTATACCCACCAAATTATTCCAATTAACGAAACACATTTTCTTAAACATTCTCAGTAATCTTCAAGGTAATCTATCTTTTCATTAATATAACATTCCCAGTAATACAACATTCCCTGAACCAAACACAAACACATCATTAAAGGAAGAAAAAAGAATTTTTACTACTTGTGGAAAAATGAGTCCAAATTCTTACACTATCACTCAAAACCCAAAAAACAAAAGGCATTTTTGACTTTTAATATTGACACTCAACAACAGTTGTTGTCATCAATTATCATAGAGCTTCACAATATCTGCACCCAGATTTCAAGTTTACTTGTGCAACAGAAGTTCCTCCCAAATATTCATGAGCTACACAATGGATATTTTCAAAGGGATATCTAGAAATTTTCAAATCAAATACAGTTTTATGCATCAGCTGTATAGGGAGAAAACAGATCACTACATGCTTCAAGCCCCGGCTCTAATCCCACACTTGTGCTCAACTGTTCATCAGGCCTTTATCCGGACCACAAACGAACCTGTAAATTGATGTAAAATATCAGATACACGAATATAAACACTATACTCATATGGTCAGAGATAAATGCATAAAACAAAATAAACGGCATCAGCACAACAATTGGAATGTAAAGGTTACCATGTCGAAAGGACTTGGCAATTACATAAAATGAAAGTAAGGACTATCTCTGCCTGTTGAATTTTTCAAACAGAGGACAACAAGTGAATGTTTTTAGTGAATGGTTGAAAAACATATTGACAGAACAGTTGAGATATCTCTCAGAACTGTGAGATTCAAAATTAGATCAAAGGGAAAAACATTATAAGTAAAATTGAGAAAGATAATATCAAAATACCAAGCTCGGATTTAAAGCAGTGAAGGGAGCTAATTGCCTATTTTTAGTTTCTAACTGACTTGATCAAAAGGATTAGTACAACATAACTTAAAAGGCTTTAGCAAAGATAAAGACATTAAGGCGTGGGCCAAATAGCATTGACGAACATGTTAGAATATTCACAGGATTTAAAAAACTTAAGTAAAAAGCGTTTCAGCAATGCTTCAATTCATAAACAAGGAAGTCAGAGAGCAATTTTGGTTTCATATACCCATGAGTTTAATTATAGCATGATATCTTACTTGATGCAAAAGTACTTATAAAATAAAGGTCCGATGAATGTAATTGAATGAGAATTTTTTAAAAACAATTCAAGAATGGAAAGCTCAAGAGCCAATTCCTTACATGCAGGAAGGTTGGATATGTCAGCAGAAACTGCACAAGGAATTCCCAAGTTTGAAAGAGCTCCTCTTATGATTCCACAAGGGAAATAGAGATGCATGCTGGTTGCTTGTGCTGCCTTGCTTTCGGTTGAAGCAGAAGGATCTTGAGATTCTGCATTTTCCAGGGATGGATCGAGTGAAATACGCGAAAGCCAGCGAAACCCATTATCCTGCAATACAAATGTACCCTACAAAACATACATAACCAATTTCATTAACTAAAAACTATGACCTCCAGCCCTAAATCACTATTTTTGGTGCTTCGACATACTCTATGATTTGTCTTCAAATTGTCTATCTGTTTCTTGAAGAGTTCAGACCAAAAGTCCTTGCAGATGAACTTTATTGCCTCCAGATGATCACTAAAGCGTGGCCTCTCCATCGTATACCTAACAAAAGCTTAAATTCCGTCATCATAGGCAGCACAATGGATTCACAGAAGAACAAGAAAGAGGCATTAAACATAACTTGAAAGTGATACAAAATTAAATACCATTAACACAAGATGATAAAAGATATACTCTCAACTAATTATTCTAGTTTGCACTACGTACTAGGGCTCTGTCCCAACGACATTCAGAAAATTATGATTGAAAAGAGCTATTCTAGTTCATGTTATGAGTTCTTGAAAAGCTTCCAAAAACTACCACTCATTTTTTCAAAAACAATTCTTCTGTGTACCCTACTTTGATGTTAACCACCAAAATAAACAAGGACAAGAGACCGACATTGTGGAACTCCGTTCATCCACCCACTTAATAAGTTTATATATTTGAAAATTCGAAAACAAAGCCAATATTGGCCACAGATTGGTGCCATACCAACACTGAATATTCCAGCAAAAAGCAAAAATAACCAATTCAACATTGTTTCTGACAACATTTTTCACCCAAATCAAACCTATATCAAACAGATTTTTACATACAAAGCAAACAGAATCCTACGCTTAAACAATTAAAACTAATCTAAAGCTTCAACTTTTCAATTTTCTTACACATACCAAAACTAAACCTCTTCCTCTTCTCTTTTCCTTTCTTTTCTTTTCCCGCAATTTCTCAGCAACCAAACCGCATAATTCAGAAGTCGTAATCAGATCTAAACACCAAAGCTTCCGATAACTCTAAACGCCGCATATTAAATCAATTTTTTACAAAAAACTGGAACAAAAGTTTGGGATTGATAAGGTGTGAAAGAGTGTACCGTTCGGAGAGCTGATGGCCGACCTGATAACCAATGGCTTCGATCCGACGCGCGGCGAGCTCAGGCTTATTAGCGTAGAACCGATTGCAATAGGTTGATACCATTTCAGTTAACAGACTATCAACGCAGCTCTCTGAAACTTCCCTTCCCATTTTCACCTCAATTTTTTGTTTTTGCTTCGACTCGATCTCTACTGAAATGGTTTTGTATTTTCTTTTCGGTTCATAGAACCCTGAGGTTTGATTCAATAAAAAAATCCCCCTAAAATTTCTTAAATAACAAAAATTATCCTATTGATAATGAACTGTTAATTATGTTTAAGTTTAACCTTTTCTTTTTGTTTTAAAGGTCGGGCTACTGTTCTTGGATCGTGGCCCATTTGTTAAAGAAAAGCCCATAATTCAAATTATGTACTGTTCTTTTTTTAAAGGTTATATTAATACCAAAATTAATTAAAGAAAAAAACTTTAAATAGATTTTAATGGGTTGTTTTCATAGTTATCAAATCCCATATCGTATCGTGTATTAAAAACCTAGAGTGCGTTTGATTTATTATTTTGGATAGAATTTTGGGAATAATATTAGGTAGTTGAATAAAGGAGTATTACAAGGTAAAATTTAAAAATTAAAAAAAACCCTTAGGTTTGCTAATTTAATTAAACACCTCAATATATAAGATGACAAAAACACCCTCACCACCCGCAGTGCTAGATTTCGACAATTTCTTTGGCTATGGCTGAAGGCCAGATTAGTGAATAATCAGCCAGTTCCAGTTGTGGTGTAAGTCGTTGTGACAGATTCCGGCTACCACCGATGGTGGTTGCCAGAATCTAGCAAGTATGGGTGGGTGGGGGTGTTTTTGCTAATTTTTAAACTTTTTTCTTGGGGTATTTAGTGAAATTAATAAACTAAGGGGTCTAAATGTAATTAAAAAATACACTAGCCAAACAATATTTGGGGAATATGATTGAGAATATGGGTAGAAATATTGAACTAAACACACCGCTAATTTTTTGAATCGTGTATCGTGTATCTTATCGTAGGATACGCCTTTTAAAAAAAAATTAATAAAACAATCAAAATTTTCTAAAAATTGATATCATCCCCAAGATTAATTAAAGAATTTTGTAGTATTATTGGCTTTAAATTATGGTATTACATAATCAAAATTAATCACAAAATTAAGAATCTATATATTATTTTCTCTCAACCATTCATATTATTTCCAAGATCAATATCTCCAGTTATATTATTATTATCATGCAAAATGGGTAACACATATTTCTCTTCACTTTCTCTATGCAAAATGGGTAAATTTGGACAAGTTTTAGTGAATCGGGTTGGGTGACTCGGTTCCACCCAAAATTTGTTTGGGCCTTTGACCCAAATTAATAAAATCGTATCGATTTATATTGATATTTTTAAGGATACGTATCGTATCGTACGATACATATCAACGTATCAAAAAGTTTAGGATATACTCTCTGATACGTATCGTTGACGACCTGTATCGAATCGTATCATATAGTACATATCAGGTATCGTCAGTTACTAATAACCATTTTTAGCAGAAAAATTATTTATCATATGAATAAGTTGAAAAATATATATATATATANGGTTTTAAAACAGAGAAAATGAATGAATTAAAAAGAATTTTAATGAAAACAAAAGGTTGTACATGTAGATGTAGCTTGAAAAGAATTTTGGCCTTGTTTGGATTGAGGGATTTTAAAATCCATGGATTTTGTACAATCCATGGATTCAAAATTCATGTATTTGATAAATTCCATTGTTTGGTTTAAATATAAAATCCATAGATTGTTTATTCAAATTTCCATAGGATCTTCTAACACTCCCCCTTAACTTGGAGCATGGACATCACACATGCCTAACTTGTCTAAAGCATTATCAAACGTGTTGTTGGCTACAACTTTGGTAAGAATGTCGGCTAGTTGGTCTTTAGACTTCACAAAAGGAAACATAAAATGAGTAGAATAGAAGAGAGGAAAAGCAAATATAAGTCCTTTGTAAAGAAAAATATATTAAAAACTTATACGAAAGTCATCTTTAAATATCGTTAATATTTAAGATTTCATTTATTGGACTAATTTCCTTTATTAGGTTATTCTAGAAAGAGAAAGTAAGATCTAGTGTTTGTAGGGGGTTTAATTGCACCTTGTAAAGCAATTGTGTGCAAATGTTTAATGACACATGGAGGAAAGCTATTTGTATCGGATTTACTTTTTGAGTAACACTACACTCACTAACACTTCTCACTAACCTTCTCTTACTAATGCCACATGTCAGTTCACAATTCGTCAATTTCCATAGGGTTCGTCTGTCTAATAATGAGTCCCACCTAACCAAGCCAATCACAAACTCCCACATGGGATTAGTGAGAGGGGTTAGTGAGAGGGATTAGTGAGATTAGTGAGATTAGTATTATTGTTACTTTTTAGGTGATCAACCAAGATAGATATTTGGAATACTTGAAGGAGGATGACTAGGAGTGGACGTAGGCCTCGTTAGGCCGAACCACTATTGATGCAAAGTACTATGCTTATTTGGATTACATTGATGAGTTGGCTTTTAACTATCTAGATAAATTTAATTTTGTTTATGATTTTTCTATTTTAGGATTAAGATTTTATTTTATTCCAAATTATTGTTATCTAGTTTAAGTAGGTTTAGTTCTTACATGTTTACTCTTATTAGTACTCTAGGTTTACTTATGTGAAGAAATGGATTTTGGAATGTAAAAATAAAATCGTTACATTGAAAGTGAGAAAAATACAGCTTATATACAGGAGCTTCATGAGTTTGTTTTGTAACTAACTGCAACTAATTCCTAACTAATTAACAAACTAAGAACTGACTAATCAAGTTTAATATAACAGTAAAGCAACTAACTCCTAACTGATTAAACAAACTAATAACTGACTTAACAAATTAATTATCAAGTATTAGGATCAGCTGAGAGCCCCCCACAAGCTAGAGAATGGATAGACAACATTCCCAGCTTGAGAATTAATGCTTGAAATGGAGCACGAGCGAGAGACTTTGTGAAGAGATCAGCTAATTGGTCTGAAGAAGAACAAGGCATGAGATGTATCAGACCTGCTTTAACCTTCTCACACACAATATAGCAGTCTATTTCTATGTGTTTGGTGCGTTCATGGAAGGTTGGATTGGTGGTAATTTGAAGTGCAGACTGATTGTCACAAAAAATTAGTGCAAGATGAGGATGAGACACATGAAGATCTAGGAGCAAATAAGAAAGCCACCGAAGTTCACAAGTGATAGAAGCTAAAGCATGATACTCTGCTTTTGACAAAGAGCGGGACACCGTGAGCTGCTTCTTAGCACGCTAACTAATCGGAGATGAACCAAGAAAGATGTAGAAACTCGTGACTGACCTCCTGGTATTCGAACAACCAGCCCAATCAAAATCACTGAAAGCTTTCAGCGTTAATGAAAAGGAGGCAGGAAAAAATATACCAGAAGCAGGGCAGTTCTTGAGGTAACGCAGGACGCGATGCGTAGCTTGAAGATGCAAAGAAGTGGGCTTGTCCATAAACTGACTAAGCTATTGTACAGCAAAAGATAAGTCAGGGCGTGAAAAGGTGAGATACAACGAACGACCAACTAACCTCCTATACATGGAATTGTCTTCCAGAGGAACACTAGCATCCTTTAGTAGCTTTAAAGAAGTGTGAAGGGGTGTCGTAGCAGGTTTGGATTCTAGAAAACCAGTATCAGCTAAGATATCAAGGGCATATTTACGCTGACATAACACAATTCCCTTAGTTGTGCGAGCCACCTCGAGGCCAAGAAAATACTTAAGATCACCAAGATCATTTTGAACCTGGCATTTAAATAAGTCTTAAAATCATCAATTTCATGCAAATCATCACCAGCCAAAATATCATCATCAACATAAACAAGTAAGACAGTAATGGTAATGGAACAATGCTTGACAAACAAGGAGTGATCAGAAAGAGATGGAGAATAACCTAATGCAAGCAAAGCAGAAGTAAGCTTTGCAAACCACTGACGACTAGCCTGTTTGAGGCCATAGAGTGATTTTTGGAGTTTGCAGACTTGAGTGGGATTAGCTGATTTAAAGCCTAGAGGTAAGAACATATAAACATCTTCATGAAGATCACCATGAAAGAAGGCGTTATTGACGTCAAGCTGCTTAAATGCCAGTTCAGAGAAGTCGCCAATGCAAGAAGTAAACGGACAGTAGTTAACTTGGCAACATGCGAAAATGTATCTAAATAGTCCACTCCTTCAGTTTGTGAATAGCCTTTGGCTACCAAACGCACCTTATAGTGCTCAATCGTACCATCAGCTCTATGTTTGATGCGATAAACCCATTTGCAACTTATTGGAGACTTATTCGAGGATAGATCAGTGAGTACCCAGGTGTTATTATGCTCAAGAGCTTGAATTTCAGCTTGCATGACGCCTTGCCAACACTTGTGTTTGATAGCTTGACTGTAGGATTTTGGCTCGGAGACAGCAGGAAGTGCAAGAGTTAAATTCAGGTGTGAAAAAGAAAGTTTAGAATAAGAGAGAACAGAAGATAAGGGATAATGAGAGGTACCTCATGGAAAGATATTGGTAGTAGATACAGCAACCATGTTACAATGATAATCCTGTAGGTATGATGATGGTTTTCTATGTCTTTCAAAGTGACGCAAAAGAGGTTGGAAAGAGGCATCAGCATGTGGCAAAGAAGGAACATCAGTAAAAAGAGGTTGAGGAGGTGTAAGATCAGAAGATGGCAAAGAATTAGCTTGAAGTAAAGGAGCAGATTTCTCTACATGTGCAAAAGGAAAAATGTGTTCATGAAAAGACACATTTCGAGAGACAAACATTTACTTGGAATGAATATCTAAAAGGATAAAACCTTTAGTGTTACTTTTGTAACCAAGAAAGACACATTTGCGAGCCCTTGGATCAAATTTGGTGCGATTAGCAAGCAAAGTTGAAGCAAAACAAAGACAACCAAACACATGTAAGGATTCATAATCTGGAATGGTGTTATATAGTAAGTGAAAGGGAGACTACTTTTGCAAAAAAGGAGAAGGGACTCGATTCATTAAGTACACGGCATGAAGGACAGCATAACTCCAATAGAGTTGTGGCAAAGAAGACTGAAAAAGTAAAGAGCGAGCAATGTTTAATATATGTTGGTGTCTATGCGCTACCAAACCACGGTGCTGAGGAGTTTCTACACATGAAGTCTGGTGAATGACT